TAAAATAGCTCAGAAACAGATTCAAAACAGGTCAGTAGGACAGTTACAATAATTAATACATTTCATATTGTTGTCTTCATAGTAGTTATTCAGAGGATAAGATGCAGATATGATATCTTGTCTAAACAATATTAGTACAAATCTTTCTTCTCAATGAATTAAGAGAACATAGCTGTATATCCAGCCTAACTGTCTAATACCTGAACCTTAAATAAGTGTATACCCTTCATTGTATTCACTCTATTGGCCTTTATATCATAATCATATTAGATCATATTAGTTTTAAAACATTATCAGAAATAACGTTTTAAAATTTTAAAAGAAATAATGCTTGCGGGTGGCTTAATATAGCCCGTGGAAATTAACAAACACCCAGTCATTGGTAATAATTAATGTATCAAGCATTCTCTAACTCAGCAAATCTTTAACTGAAATGGTGGGAGAGATTGCTCTTTAAAATGTAATTACGTAGCATATTAACATGTATTAAGCATTATATCAAACAGTAAAGGAAATTTGTTTTTTCTTTCAATTTTGTCACAAAGTTCAAAATGCTTATTCATACAGAAGCAAAAGTTTAGTCATTCATGCATGAAATGGTACCCAGAGACAGCGAACGGCTGAGTGTCTGTAACCACCCTGTATCACATATTAATGTACTTAACTGCTGTATGACTATCTCCATGTTAATGCCTGCCATAGAAAGGCATATTTTCCTGTAGAAACAACTCGAACAAGATGTGATTAACCTTAAGGTCCCCCTCCCCTCAGCTCAAAGCCCACCTCACGCATGGCCTATGCTTCCTATTCATGTTCACCCATCTAATTTCCATATCGCCCACTCACTCTCCCCAGCAGGCATTAGCATAACAGAGCTGTAGCCTGACTTTGATTGAAGCCAGCTTGGGCTGAATGCAATATCAAAGCATAATTTAGCAGAAATCAAATCTAATTTACTGTGCATTGTATTTAAATTCTCAAAATACTGTTTCAAGTGAACTGTCCCAGACCTCTAATCTTAATTGACCTTTTGACATCCGGGTCTTATGGCTCTGGAAAGCGCACAGTGTACTTTCCTTACGGAGCTATTGTTTTTTTTAACATGGAAATGCTGATTAAATGCTGAATTGGGCCACTGTTTGCTTCGTCTCATTTCTTCTTAGAGCTAAAGCAATAAGGTATAATCACTTGCCAGATTAAGCAAGTATGTTATTGCATCTTACTTATAAGAAATTTGTCTAATGTTTTCAGGTCTTAGAGCAGACATAAGTGTGTATTTTATAGTCCTCTGTCTTACAAACTTATGTTAGAATTACCAATTTTGGAACTGGAATATTCTTCTGCAGTTTATAACTCAAACACTTTAATTCACATTGGACTTAAATGTGTGTTTTGAATTATCATCTTGAGGACCTAATTGTGTTTTTTATATTCGATGACAGCTATTGTAGAAAAGCAATTTTAAGTGTAGCACACTTTGCGCTATTGTGCTGTGTCGATGAAATGCCCCCGCTGTCTCCTCCCTCCCACCAGTGCCATCCGCCAAGTACTGCCTTTTGAAACCATTTCCCCTGCAACCTGGGAGAGATACTGAACTTGTGGTGTGCTCACAGAATTATGGATGCAGTGCTTCATTTTAAAACCTCAAAAGTAAACTCCTTTAGCTGCTATCCCTTCACAGAAGATTGCAGGATAGATCTTGGGCAGAGAAAGCAAGTCTACAAAAGGAAAAGTAATTGTTATCGTTTGTTTTGTTAGAATGACATCAAGTGACAAAAGGACATACATTTTTCAGAGACTCAAATGCTCCTGAATGGTTTTGGCTTTGTAAAATGCTTCTTTCAACGTTTTAATTTTTTTTTTTAATTTTCAAAATGATATGATTCCAGTCCCATTGAGCTCCATGAAGTTTAAATCCTGGTGACAAGGTATTGGCTGCATTAGAACTACAACATATATACAATAATTTATAACAAAATAACGACAGAGAGAAGCACCACAGGAAAATATATATCTTGGGAATTCATAACACAAAAGCCCATAGCTTTTTGTTAGTGGTCTTTAAAAATTAGAAATGGATACAATTTTAGGAAATTATGATTTCTTGGCTTTTTAGGGTTATATCATCAGTGATACATATTGGTTATCATTTTCCTTAACTTTTTTGTCATTCCGAGTTTTGCTGAAATGTTGCCTGCAGGCCTGCAGGGCTGCAATGACTAACAATCCTCAGTTGCGCTTTCTGCTCTAACTTGCTGAGGCTTTCTTCCAGTCCTTGCAATCGCCATCTTTATTGCTTCCCGAGTACTATTTTCTGAAGCACAAACCTTAGGATATTGGTCTTCCAAAAACATCTTTGAACAGATCTGACCAACTTTCAGGACAAAAATATAAACTCTTTGCACATAAATTAAGTGGCCTTCTTTACCTAAGCTCTGTAGACCAGATTCCTCTTAAAAATATTGTGCAACGTGAATTTCAAAAATATTTTGCAGAATCACTGTCTTGAAATATTTTCAAAATTTTGAAAATTAATTCAGGAGAGTACTAGCTTGTCCAGTGCAAACAATAAATTTTCTCAAATATGTAGATGCTAGAGAATATCATTAAAACTACAGATTTTCATTGTTATGTGTGTTTCATTTAGTGATTTCAATCATTTTATTCTGTTATTTCATTTTTAAAATTATGTAAAGGAGGACAATACAGAGTATATAGACCGTCAGATTTTACTAGCTAATAGCGTAGGCTAATTTAAAATCTTTGACAACCAAAGCTGTGAAAATTAACTAATGTTTTGAATATGTGATTTTTATTAAATTATAAATAACAGACTGACCCTATTTAGCTTTAAATTTTTAGTGTTGAAGTAAAAACTAAGATATTCAATACTTCTCTTAAAGCTAGTATCCATATTTGCATTATTACCATTTATTCATAAGACTATAAGGGGAAATAATTATACTATGTTTATGAAGTAGTAGCGTATTATCATGAATGTATACATGAGAGAGACTAACCATGTTATAGAGACCAACCATAGGTCTTTTCTGGATACCTGGTAGTTTACATCTCTGCAAAAGTAGACGTTGTGTTTTCAGCTTTTCTTAAAGTAATTTTATAACACTGATATAAAACATCATTCCTATTAAAAACATGAAACAAAAATCAATGCATCTACTGATTCAGTAGAACTGTGTAGACATAGCAAGAAGATCATAAGAAGAATGCAATCTCCTGAAGGGGCAGGGCAATATAAACCACACAGTGGTCAAATAGATCTATAAATCTGGATTCTCTATGCTGTAAGAATGAGTCTTCTGTTATCTATAGCTATGGAAAGGGATTTCACTTAGTAAATTTATCTCCTCTGTCCCTGGGGCATGTGTTGTCTGTGTTGAATTAGGAATCGGTATAATAGAACACCAAAAAATAAGTCAATACAAATCTCAGTGAATATTTTTGAGAAAAAAATGCTTGTACTTGCTCAGTGGTAGCATTTGTATAAAGAAGAACTGGATGTATGTTGGGGCTACTCTGCATTTAGTCTGTCCTTGGCCCTGCATGTACAGGCTTACCCATTACAGGAGAAGGACTTGATTGGATACCACTTATTCCTAAGATTTCTGTACAACTCACATTTTAAGATTGTTGCCAAGTGCACCATATTCTACAAATTAAAGTTCATTTTTGAGTGTTTGCATGGTCTTAGTTTTCTAGCATAGGCAGCTGATTAAAGTGGAAACAGATGATTAAGAAAGTCATGGGATAAACAATTTTTTTTCCTCCAACCAAAGTGAGGTTTGGTATGAAGAAGATAGCTTTCTAAAAGTTTCCAGGTGCAGTGTTATACTTGTCCCCATCCCTTTTGTTTCTGTAAGTGTGATTTGTGTCTTGGTCTCGTTATCTGCACCTACACCGTCTTGCTAGTCTCTCAAGGAAACAGTAAATGCCGCTCACCCTCCTCGTGCTGTGCTGTGTGATCATTGCAGTGTTAAACCTGCCTAAGCTATTCTGTGTACCTATCACTCCTCAGTTTAGAGTCAGAATAAAATCCTCCGCATGGCTTCTTAAATCTTCTCTTGTTGCCATAATGGCTATACATCCTGGATCCTTCCCTCCTGCCAGATGCACACAGGTGTGCTGCGTGTGCTACTGTTGCTTCTCTATGTGGCAACCACCTCGCTCGGAGTCTGTTCATTTTTACATTTAGGCAAATAAGGCCTAAATTGCTGTAGTGTCCACTGCCTACACAAAGCCCTTCACAGCCAACACAAAACAAAGGGATTCCTCTGCCCTAAAGCTCTATAGCATTGATTATATGTGCTATAATTTATGTGCTACTGAGAGTCCCTCTACCATTACATTTAATAGTCTTAGAAAAATGGTGGCTTACGTTTGGGTTTAGTATTGGCATTGTAGTCATATTTTGCCTTTCCATTGGTTAAGAGCTCCTTTATGACTAATCAGAGCTTTTCATCTATTTCATTAGTGCCCAGCTGAGAAAAATAATAGCTGCCTGCCTGTGGTTTATCTGTCTAAATAAATTGAATAAACTCTTTTAATTCATATATGTATACTGTTAGTTAACTTTGTATGTAACTCCTGTCTTAAATACTTTAATGTCTTTAATTCTTCAACTCCTCATTTGTAGAATATAAGCATTTTGACAATAGAAATCACATTCTAGGTCTTGTAGTGTACCAGTGCCTCATATACTATATAACAAACATTGTAAGGAAATTAATGTTTAGCTAATAAATTAATTAATTTTAAAGTAAAGATAAAGTGATTCTTTTCCATCTTTACTCAAAAAGCAGAAACAAATTGGGTTCTATGTTTCCCTAAAAATGTTAGAATCACAAGGGTGTAGAACACAGGGTTATAATGTAGAATACTAAAATATGTTTGCACTCCAGCTAGAGCCAGATTCTGGCTTTGATATCCTTTTCTTTGTCAACAGTTGATATTTACACACTTTCCTTCTTTTTAAATTATAGCTCCTCCACAGTTTGTGGTTAGGCCAAGGGATCAGATTGTTGCTCAAGGTCGAACAGTAACATTTCCCTGTGAGACGAAAGGAAATCCACAGCCAGCTGTTTTTTGGCAGAAGGAAGGCAGCCAGGTGAGTGGAAGGCCTGGTGTTTCTCTGCTCCCTTTGAACCTCCCCTGCCCCGGCTTTGGGGACCCTCAGGGCTTGCCTTGCTTGTCCTGCTATCAATTTTGAACGTACTGTACTATTATGAAAAAGGAGGCAAATGATTCTTAGATGAATAAGTAGAAGATTTGTTTTAGCACAGATGTTTCTATTTGCTTGGTTGAATTTTTAAAATCTGTATCTTTTATAAAAAAGAAATAAAGCAATAGAAAAAGATAACTTAAAAATTCCAATCACAGAATTCTGTAATTTTTAAATTACAGAAGTTTAAAATTCTGTAGCTATTTAAAATCCTAATGATAAGTCATTTTATTGTCTTCTATGGTGTTCCATGGTGTGATTAAGTGAATCAGCATACATAAACTGCTAGCACATATAACAAGAATATTACCTGGCACATGGAAAGCAGGAGTATTTCTTTTATTATTTGGTCTGAAATCTATATTCAATGTATGTGTTTAGATAAACTGTGCAAACGACTTTTAAAAATCATTAATTTAAATATGTTTCCATTTAAAGGTAAAACAGGTCTTCCATATCCCTTCTGGATTTCTGCATGGTACGGTTACATGAGAAGTAGCATTGTCTTTCTGTGCAGGCTGTGATAGAACAGCCTCTCAGAGTCAACTGAATACCTTACTTTGCTCGTTTCGATCTTGGTCTGGGCTTAGGAAATTGCAGTCTTTAGGTTCTGGGCAGTGAGTGGAACTTCCAATTTAATCTACATTAGAACTTGTAATTCTTGCCTAACAATTTGTGTATTCCTGGGGAACCTAGATATATTTTTGTTCTACAATCTAGAACCATATCAATGAAACATGAAATTATTTTTTTCTCTAAGAGTAGGAAAATTTATTGGAGAAAAGGAATGAGGAAAAGAAATGAGGGAATAAGAATAGCTCCTGAGAGACAGCGGGGGTCCTGAATAGATTGCCCCAAGGCATGACAATCTCAGAAACAGAACTACTACCATTTTCTCAGAGTACCTGGTATTTTTAATGCACAGTCTGAAAGATTTTCTTGGAACCTAATGAAATTAATGTTTTTGTTTCTCTTTTTTTATGATTTTGGGGATCAAACCTCGCGTATGTACATGCCAAGCCAGTGCTGAGCTAAATCCCAACACCAAATTTATTTGTGATATTACACAGTGGAATAATACTCAGTTATAAAGAAGAATGATTTTTTTTGCAGAAAAATAAGGGAAACTGAAGATCACAATGTTTTCTGAAAAAAGTTAGAGAGGAAATCACATGTAGCTTCTTTTATATGAGAAACCTAAGATACACATAAGTAATGAAGTAAAATAAAAAAAGAGATGGTAGAAAACAAGAAGGCAGACTTTGTGGAAATTGGGAGGGCCCTAAGGGGAGACTAGAGGTAATGGACAGGAGACGAAGGGATTGCAAGTGACACATACCAGCTCCCTAAGTCATCATAACTGTTAGATATTGTGAGCATACAGAAATAGAGCATCTCAGGAATCTGAATAGTGACAGAGAAAGACAATATTTTGAAAGAATTTGCTGATTAGATATCATGTCTGATTTCCTAGAGAAAGAGCCTTTAGATTCTTTAGCCATCTTCTCTCAGTTGTAATGGGTTCTTGTAGACTCTCCTCCCACACCCAGCTAGCCACTGTTGGGACTCAGTCTGGGTAGCCAAATCAGCTTCCCCACATCCTTCTGCTGCCCTCACTTTATTCCTAATCTGTGGGATATGAAGACAGAGAGGGGCACACAAGTGTAAGGGAAGCCACTGCCATTTTCCAAAACAGAATTGTCTCAGACCTCAGCTGACAAATGATGTTTTATCATTCAGTAACTATATTAAAAAGTAATTTTAATCAGAATTTCAGATCCTTCACTTACAATTTTTCAATTGCAAGTTACCACAAATATCCAAGTGAATCTACAGAAGCAAGAACATATAAACAAATACACAGACATATGTTAAACAACAAAATTTAAAACTGTTTTCCTTGTTTAAAAATGCTGAACAATTGCAGTGCAGTTTAACTTTTCTGAAACTAGGATTATCAGTCTAAGATAGAGTCACATTTTTTCTTATGAGTTATGAAGATTACATGAATATCTCAGATCATGTGAGAAATTTAACACTGTATGGATATCATATATAAAATAGCTGTACAAATTATAAAAATCTCAGAGTATTATTATAACACTGATAGTAAATATTCTACTGTAAAAAAATTTTATTTTTGTAAATTTATACTTTTAATTTCTTATATTGAGTGAAATATAAGGAAATGCTATATATATGCACACATATGTATATATATATACATATATATATGATTTATATAAAATTATTTCATGTAGAAAACACATCTCCTAAAATACCTCCAAGAGGGATCCAATATAATATATGTATTTTTCCTCTGATTCAATAAACATATGTTGGGCTGGCCAGATAGCTCAGCAGAACAAAGTGAAAAGTGACTGCTTAGCAAGGGCACAGCAGCCGGGTTTGATCCCTGGCATGCCATGTCAGCCCCATCCCTGGGGCACGCTGAGACAGTGAATGAGACTGGGCGTGGTGGTGTGTGCCTGTAATCCCAGCTCTTGAGAGGCTGAAAACAGGAGAATCACTACGAGCCTGATCTACATAGTGAGACCCTGTACACACTGTAAACCCTGTCCTAAATTCATAAATAAATAAAAATAATGAAAAATATGTCACACACTGGTTTCAATAGTTTTGAAAAAGTAAGTTTCAAAAGTATTTTAGAGTTCTTTTTTTCTGTTATTTGGAAAAGGGACATGTAATTCCAGTGCTGTTACTGGAGAAGATACAGAAAATTTTAGTTAGACACAAAGTTAAGTTTATTCTAACCTTAACTCTAGTTTTCTTTTCTTTGCCAGTTAGGAAGATGGAAGGAGAGGAGAGAGAGAGAGAGAGAGAGAGAGAGAGAGAGAGAGAGAGAGAGAGAGAGAGAGAACAGAGACAGAGATAGAGACAGAGAGAGAAAAAGAGAGGAACACGAAAGTGTGAGAAAATTATATATTTTGAAAGCATGAATTGAGATATTAGGAAAAATAAATTGGTTTTACTGTCTCCAATAGCCAATTTTTAAGTGATGTATGACCATCCATCAGTAGAATGAGTTAAGAGCCTAGACTTAATGGTTCATATTCCTCAACATGTGCTGATAATGCCAATTAGTACTAATAGGTTATGCCAGCACTTCAAGTAAAAAAAAATCTCTGTGAAGTTCCTGGTATTTGCTTGCAATCCATTTTCTTTTGCCTATGTCATATAAGCAGGGGATAAAGATGATGGGTTAACCTCAATCAAATGCCATTTTCCATGTCTACGAATCATTTATAAGGTAGACTGATATTATACTGTACAGAGAGAGATCCCAGAGAGAATTAGACCATCTGATGGATTAGATCTATGTAAATTAGTATTCTAATGGCTAATTGTAGGAAAGTGTGCACTTTGAGTTATTGTATAATTTTCAAGTGGTTCTAAAATTTAGACCTTTCTCTTTCAGGTGGCTTATTTCTGTAATACATTTGGATTGCACAAGAGATTTAACCTGTTCTCAAAATTATGTTTCATACATATGAGCATGTCTAAGATTATATAGTAATATACCTTTTAGCACAGACAGTGGTATCTTGGATTTGTATTCCTGTTATGCTTGCAAACACCTCTCCTTTTAGAAGGAGTTTAATAACATGGTAATGTTTATGTAAAGTGGGCTTATAGTGTCACACTTGAATCTGATAAAGTGGACATCCATCATGTTGCAATAAAGAGAAGAGGTTCTAATTAAAGTAGGACATCATTTGCAGGATTAAAGTCATTTAGCGTAATTGAAAAGTGTTAATACCCTATTTTATCCTCTTCCATTGGTATTACTTCAAGGGTAAAAACATTTTAAGGTGAAAATGTGTCTTGTGCCTTTAATTGAATGTTATTGCCTCCTGATTGCTACTTATTGGGACTGTTTAATTACAAACCTGGAAAATTAATTACTATATTGAGAAACAGATCCCAGAGGGTCATAATGTTCTTTTGTAGGTAAATACAACATAAAAATTGATATGTTCTTATTTATAATCCAACTTGGAAACATGCCTCAATATGATTTATTATACCCAAATGTTTTTCTTAATTGAACAATAGTAAAACAACACAGGTCACCCAATTTAATGCTACTGCTCTCATATAAGAACTATAAAATTTGTGTTAGGCTGTATGAGAGATACGATAGGCTTTAAGGATATAC